ACTCGATGATTCATGAGAGCATTTTGTTCACAAATATCAACACCGCCATTTCCGAAACCCGGAAAAGAGGGAAATGGCTACGAAAAACAATCCCGTGTTCCCCAATTCTGACGAAAAGACACAAACAGAACAACAAGTATATTCTTGCCTTGACGTCCGCCATTGTTGTAGCATTCATGTTGCATGTTAATTGCATTGTGGGGCGCTCGGATGTCACACCACCCGCTGCTTCTTGGACCAAACCTGTTGGTCCCTCTCTGCTGCATGCCACAGACTACATACCAGTACCTGCCAAGGTCTCCATGCCGCTGCCTGCCACCACGCCGGAGTGGATTCCACCTGCCAAGGGTATCCCAAGGGTCTCCATCTCAATTGCTGCCAGCCACCAATGAATCCACGCTCCAGCAGGCCACCTGCCAATCGCTGCAAGCCACCAACTAAGCCACCTGAAGGATTTTGTTGTCGGTTTCCAGTGCTGTTACCCATTAGTCTTCGCTGTAATGGTTGAACCCTAGGCCTGCTTTGCCTGCTTTGTCGTCTTCCAGATCACCATCATGCCCAATGCTGGCCATGCGACTGGCCTCCCGAACTGTTGTCTCTTCTAACAGTCTTGATGACTAGCCTTCGGTCTAGCCTTACTCTTATTGTCCACCTGGAGCAAAACAAATTATCATCTAAAAAAGTGACAAAGAAAAAGTGGCATGTCTTTGATCAATATTAAAAAATTTGTATGGCACCACAGGTCTGCCTCTTGGTCTCAGTGGTCTTGGGCTTTTTCTTATATATAGCCCTGCGAGCAGACCAGCAGTAGCGACCGATGCCCCGGGCCAGAACCGGGTTCCGGCTCCCGTGCTTCTTCTTCTTGGCAGCTTTGTCTCCCTCTGCCATCTGACACAAAGTAAAAAGAAGGTAGATGTTTGGTAGAGTCTCAGATGAGCAATGGTTTATTGCACCACAGTGATGTTATGGGATTAAGTTCCTAGGTTTATAATTCTTCTAATACTGGTTTTTAGCAGCAGGACTCCAGCACCAACTACAGCAGAATAGCAATGTTTCAAGATCTCAAACTCTAAGCTGTAGTGCTGCTGGTCTAAGCACCAGTAAATTCCAAGAAACTGTAACATACTATGACCCAGTGTTTTCTAGTTTGTGGAGTTTGTTGCTTAATATTGAAAACTTTTCTGTTCTTCCAAGGTTCATGATAACTTTTAAGTCTTTTAATAAGTATGTTTGAGTTAGTCTTCAGTTCCTTGTGATTTTTCAGTTTCTCTCCCTTAGTGTCTCGTCTCCTCCTGTGGTTAGTCAGTCTTGTTTTCACGTTTGTTTGTTTTTTTTCATCTCAGTGATTGGTGGTTCTTTTGTGTCTATTTAGTGTCAATCACGTCCCCATGTCTGTTTCTCCCCTGGCCCCAGTGTCAAGCCTGTGTGTCTTAGTCTACCTCTCAGTGTGTTTCGTTTTATTTTAACAGTGTCTCGTCCTGTGTTCTGCATGTTCAGTTTTGCTTCCCCTGTCTTATTATGTGTGATTTGTTCCTCCTGTGTTCCCACCTGTCGTCCATCCTTTCATTATCCTGTGTGTATTTAAATCCTCAATCTCCCTCTGCTCATTGGTCATTTTTGTATCACAGCACGAAAGCTGCCTCTTTTGTTTTATTTCTCCCGCCTCTGAGTCCTGCGCTTGGATCCTACCCTTGCCTGCCACATAGTCTACTATGACAATAAGGAAGCAATGTCACAAATCCATGATACAGATTTAAAACACACTTTAACTGAAATATACCAAAAGTCCAAACGGTTCTGATAAAGTGGGGACATTGCTGTGACTTATAAAGCGTCTGCTTAATTTTATTTTTTTCTCTAAATAGGGTCCAAAACATGCTGTTGTAGTTTAAATCACTAGAGTTTATTAGCAAGGACCTGACTTTATTATTATTTTAGTTAAACATTTCTATTCCTCTTGTGGCTGAATTTGGCTTCAGTGTTTGTTTATACCTTTTATTAACTGTAACATTTAACTTTTGGGTGACAGCACAAGGGAATAGAGAATGAGAGAGCAAGATGAAAACGGCAAAGAGAGAGAGCAAAAAGAAACAGGTAAGAATGGACTTGTGGTGAAATTCACCAAAAATTATAAAGCTGTAGCTTCTATTTTTCTACATTCATTGATGATGATTTCACATAACTAAGTAGTGTGCTGTACTGTTATCAATTATGGATCCCTAACCTGCTCTTATAATAATTATCATAAGATTATATTTTTCTTTTTTCTTGTGAATATAATTCTAGTTGAGTGGTGAGGAAGAAGAGAGAGATGTTGTAGAAGAACAGGAAGAAGGAGAGAGCAGGTAGTAAAGTTAGGTGAAAAAAAATATATTTATAGAATTAGTGTATATTTAAAAAATATACACTAATTCTTTGTGTATTTCAAGGATGTTCAGTAGCAAAAAAAATAATAAAAAAAAGTCAGTGGACGTTGTAAACAGAGCATGTTGATATAAACAATGGCATTTTTTCACTCTAAACATGTCTCATAAAGGATGGCTGCCATTACATTGATATGACGGATTACAAATCTATTCTCCACTAGTGAAATTGGGGTACATGATGCTGTGTTCTGAGACTGCATACTAAAGGAAGTGTTTGTATAAATTCAAAAACTTTAGTAAAAAGCAACTCTATTACCAGTTTGCTTCATGTACAGGTCTATAGAGTGGTGATTGTCCAGTGTCCATGATTCAATAGCTTGCAGAATCTCCTTTAACAGTAATAATTTGAAATAATCTTCTTTTAAGTATGACATATTCAGTCTCCTGTGTCAGATACCTGTGGAAAAAAAGTTCTCTACCCTTCTTTAATTTATCACTTAACTTCATTGAATGCACAGCCCTTTTAATTCAGTCTGGTTGACATATGGACTTTTACTGAACCATTCCAACAACTTGATTTTTTTCTGCCAGTCTGTCTGTCCTGTTGCATGAACCAGTTTCAGTCTGAAGGCTTCACATCTGACTGTAGAATACTGAGGCTTGGACCTCCTCCAGTTTCTCCAGGGGGGCACCAAAGCGTTCCTAGATCAGCTGAGAGATATTATCTCTCCAGCATCTCCTGGGTCTGCCATCAGGCTTCCTCCCAGTGGGACATGCCTGAATATTCACCCAGGAGGTATCCTTGTTAGATGCCCAAAGCACCACAACTGTCTCCTTTTGATGTGGAGGAGCAGCGGCTCTATTCTGTGCCCCTTCCGGATGGCCAAACTCCTTACCCTGTCTCTAAGGGAGAGGCTTTCAGATGCCACCTTTCAAATGAAGCTTCTGCTCTCATTCTTTCGGTCACTACCTACAGCTCATGACCATAGGTGAGGGTAGGGACATAAATCCCTTGACCAATGTTCCCTCTAAGCCGCAATTGCACACTGCTGGCACGGTCTCTACGCACAGAAAATCTGCGTTACGCACACACAAAAAAAATCTAACCTGAATTGAAATTAAAATAAATTCGTTAACAATTCATTCTGTTTTGCAGTGTGAGTCAGTAAGTGACTGGCTGCTCCAGTATGGGATTAGAACGATGCCACCTTATCCCATAGTCCAGTCAATGATGCGATTCACATTCGTATATACGCAGCTAATCAACGTCGTTGACAGGCTATGACAGCGTCCTTATGTGCCGACACCGGTGTTTTAGCTGGCAAAGCGGCGTGGCTGATGTGGAGTGAAGCCACGTTAATGACAACGTGTACAACCACTGGAGATGTGAGCAGGACAGATGGAAACTGACGGAAAAGTGTGGACTTTATACCAGTTTTTAAATTGTGTTGATAGGCCACGTAAAACCAGAGTTATGATAAAAATATGCAATGTTTGTTTTTTTCCTGAATATATCGTTGTTTATATTTACTGCAAGAAGAAACGGTAAAAAAGGCGTTTTATAAGGAAAGCTCGAAAGCACTCTGCCTGTGAGCAAAAACACCCCCCCCACTCCCACGCCTTTCCTATTGGTGGAAAAATGTACCATGTCGACCAATCAAAAAATGATATGGCAACATGGCATTTAGTTGTTTAGGAAGGGGGAAGTTTTAGGAGTGACGGCGGTGTTTTGAGATGTGAGAGATTTGCAACGTTTAGCGCAAATCTTGTGTAGTTAGTGTGTAGTGTAGTCAATAGTTTTGTTGTGTGTGTCAGAACAATGAGGCGACTGCTGAATGTTACAGGTGTTACAGGAGTGATACATCTCCTGTTGTCAGGCCTGCAGGTATCAGGTTGTTGTTCTCCTTTATCTCATAGTGCACAGAAATTATCTTTTGGAGTGGCACAAATAATTTGTGTGGCATCAAATGTGATGCAGAACAGCTGATTGTTCTGTAAATAGTGTGAAATGTTTATTTAAAAAACCGCCTCGGCTGCATTTTTAGGTAAACAGCTGCAAAAAGCTTTTTTTGCAAAACTCAGTTACTTTTTTGAAGAAGTAACTATATAATTAATTGCCCAACATTGGTCATTATATACTGTATTTTGCAGACAGAGAGTTACAGGACTCTCTCCCAGACCATAGACTCATACTCATAATACCAGTCAGAGCTTTATAAAAACAAAAAAACCCCAAAGCTGTACAACTTCTTTTTTTGTTTTTAAAAAACACGTTTTCAAAATTGGAGTCCAAGTTATTTTTATTTCCAATAGTGTTAACATACTACACAGGTCATGAACATGATTTTTTAAAATCTTCACTGTATGTGGGCTAAAGCAGTTAATTAAAAGTAGTCTAACTTAAATGTAAATGCTGTAATTTGATTATTTTAATAAACCATGTGACTTGGATGTATTTGATGCTAGCGTGACCACAGTGCACACGTCTGCTGTTGCTCACACTGGTCTAAGGGACCGCTCAGGGAGTTTGTGTGTTCGACACATGAAAAATTAGAGGGAACATTGCCCTTGACACCAACTAACCAAAAAAAAATCATATAGAATATTTTATTCAAGAGCTGGAAAATGGGTTTGAAAAAAAGTTGCAGCTGCAATAAAAGACTGATCATGAAAACAGATTTTTTATTTCTTTTTTTTAATTTGAGATTCTCTGACACAGAAGTACAAAATCAGTTTTTGCTGGAGCCATCACAGGTAATTTTCTAGCATTAAAACTTAACATGTTCTCAATCTCTCTGCTATTAAGGCAAATTCCAGTTCCATCAAGTCTCACTCTGTCCTACCACAAACTTCACTGTTATTATATGCTACACACTGTACCATCATTAGCGCTGAATTTTAGGCATGTGCTTGAAAAGTCTTTTGCACTTATGTGAAACAGGAACAGGCATGTCAGTGAGCAATTAGCATTCAGTCTTTACTGGACTTCCAAGCCAACTCAAGAATGAAACATTTAGTGCACATGTTCTGATGTGAAAATGTGGAAAAATATCCCTTTTACAATGTATCATCTGCATTTTATTTAGAATTAGCGGACTGTGTGGTTGAGTGTAGGTCATTCTTCTGCAGGAAACTTAGCAGCTGGCAGGTTCTTCTCTCAGCATTTTTCAATGATGATGGCGATACCCTGACCACCGCCAATACAGGCAGACCCGATGGCATACTTGCCTCCTCGCCGCCTGTCAGAAAGTAAATAATTATTCAAAGTCACTTTAAATAATGTGCAGAACACTTCTCATTATATAAGATACCGTGCACCATTAAATGACTACGCTACCTGAGCTCATGCACCAGGTGAGCAGTGATGCGAGCTCCAGAAGCACCGAGAGGATGTCCGATGGCAATAGCTCCACCGTTAACATTGCTTTTCTCTGGGTTGAGTCCTAGAGCCTTGGAAACAGCCAGATACTGAGAAGCAAAAGCCTCATTGACCTGTGCAAAACAACAAAAACACCTGAGTATTCACTTCCTAAATAAATCACAAACACCATAAATCACAACAGGCTGGTTGCTATGTTACATTTTAGAAAAGCAACTTTCAAGTATTCAAGTATTAAAAAATATTAATATTAAATTATTAAAGTAATATTTGAGTATTAAAAAATAATAATTAGTTTAAATGATGTTAGTTTGTCCAATGAATTTCAAGCCTCTGAAAGTGTGGGATTATGTGGGGTTTTATAGCTCAATGTCTAATGTCAACATTTAATCACAACTTAATGGTTTGATTTCAAATCCATTGTACAAAGGCAAAACTACAAAGAATATGTGACTGCCCAAATACATATGGGCCTAACTGTTGTTATGTAAATTTTACTCATAATAGTGGTTTATATATTTGCCTAACAAATGAAAGATTCTGGTTCAAACCCAGGAAGAGACACAGATCTCTTTGTGGCTGCGGCAGGAAGGACACAAATCAAACATGTGCTGGTGACCTCTTGTCAATAAGGAAGCAGGCAAAAACAGCTGTGTGCACTTTCACCAACATATTATTTTCAGTTTCCTTAATTAATTATAATGGAGTATTTTTAAGTTGTTGCATTACTGCTTTGTATATGACAAAAAAGCATGTAAGTATTTGTTTCACTGTATGGGAACAAACCTCCACAAGATCCATGTCTTTGAGAGTCAGACCAGCTTTCTTAAGTGCTCCCGTGATTGCTGGAACAGGACCTAAAATAAATAAAGTAAAAAGAAAGGTTAGGTAATCATTACTTTTAATCCAAAGGTGCCCAGATTATACCTTTAAGAGAGCAGTGTTGCTAACCTATTCCCATAATGCTTGGGTCACAGCCTGACACGTGATAGGCCACAATTCTGGCCAGAGGAGTGAGCTTGTGTTCCTTCAGAGCATCCTCACTTGAAATCACCAAAGCAGCAGCACCATCAGATACACCCTGGGGATAGAAATAATAGGTACAATCAGGAAAGAGGAGGAGGTTGGATAAAATTTATAATGAACTATATTTAAATGTATTTTAAGTGTGAGTGTACAAAAACATGCTGGAGTGATATCACACAATACAAAAGGGACTCGAATGCATTAAAAAAAAAAAAAAAAGGTGGTCTGTTTTTCCCAGTGACCACGGACCGTCTGACTTAGACTAAGAAAACCCGATCATGTCAGATTGTTGAGAACAGTCGGCACCTCTAGCATAAACTCACTGAAGCGTTAGCAGCAGTAACGGTTCCTCCCTTCTTAAAGACAGGAGGTAGTTTGGCCATCTGTTCCAGAGTGGTCTGAGGCCGAGGGTGCTCATCATGAGTCATGGGCACTTTGCCTTTCTTAGCTTTCACCTCAATGGGAGCAATTTCTGCTGTGAAATAACCACCCTCATGAGCTGTAAACAGAAAGCAGTAAAAGCTTAGAGTTTAAAACAGTAACTGAGTATGAGGGTGAATTAAAAGGCAGACCATGAAAAGAAATCAAAAAACAGGGTCTGCCTTACCTGCCTTCCACCTTTGTTGAGTCTGATGTGCGTAGTTGTCACAGTCCTCTCGGGTGATCTGGTATTTCTCTGCCAGGTTTTCTGCTGTGATGCCCATCGGGGTTTTAATATGCAGGTCAGTCAGCCCCGCCCACAAGGTATCCTCTAGCTGGTAGGCAGATGAAGGCAGGTTTAATACCAAATCATTGTAGTTATGGTGATGTACATTTATATCAAGTGTTCACAGATCTGATCTACCAACCTTCAGATCGACGCCAAACTTCGTACCAAATCGTATGTTACGGACAGCATAGGGAGCCTGGCTCATACTCTCTGAACCTCCACACAGGACCACCTCTGAATCCCTGAGACAAATCTCCTACAAACACAAAGGGGAACAGGCTTTTTGTTTTTAGACCAGCAGAAAAAGGGTAAGATACATAATGATCATTTTACTGATGGTTTTTGCACACATTGCTGACTTAAAAATATCACTTCAATTACTTTCCACTTATATACATGACAGGAAAAGATCAGAAACTTTTAATCTTCCTTTTCATTTAGGAAGATACAGTACAGAACGAAAATACATCAGCATATAATTCATCCAATGAATTTCAGTTGTCATAGTGCAGCACTGGGTTGTTGTTTTTGGGTCGTTTCTGTCTTTCTCTGGTCTTGGATGGGTTATGCAGGCTGTGCCCTATGGGTAGAGCACGGGTTCCTGCTGCTCACTGAGCACACCAGTGGCTCATTAGTCTCATCAGTGGCTGGTATTTAAGGGGCACCTGAAATGTTTTCCATCATAAAGTAGTAGACAGGCTTGTTTTTGGTTATGCCTACTGAGTTTTTCCAGTGTTCTCAACTCTGTGTCTCTGTGATTGTGTGCTGAATAAAAGGCTTCCCTAAGCTTGCTCACCTGCTACCTTCAAACAAGCATTCACCACAAGGATTCCTTTCCATCTCGTGTTACCTGCCTGTCCACAACCAGTGCCCCACCCTCCAACCTCACTTATCTCTACTCCTAGTAAGAAACTTATAGATTCCTGGAGTTATCATAAAACCGGGCTGATGTGAAACCACCTCTTACATTTTGCTTTATCTTACTCACTCTTCTCCTTACAGAGAAGCTGCAGAGCTTCTTTTCCCTGCAAAAAGTAGTACTCTCATTAAGTATTTCTCTTTCTTATTTTGAATGTGCTGTACTGAGGATCTCACTAACTCACCACGTCAACCAGCACTCAAATGTTTGTGGATTTCACTCCAAAATAGTTTTGAAGTTCTGGACATTCCCAAAGGAAAAGGTAATGATAAGCTACTGATGATCCACCAACCCTCCAACAATTTGTTCCTACACCTTAATGTCTTTCTGTAATTAAAAAAACTTTGCATTTTTCCACCCAAATTCCATCCACATACGTGAAACTGCAGTTTTCCACTCTGACCTTTCCATTCTTCTGCTATTTTGGCTTCACTTTCCCGTTTGTCTTCGTAGTGTCACTGTTATTACTTTTTAAAATCAATTTCCTTGTTTGTATGTTGATAGGAAAACATTCAATACACTGTTTTCTGCTTTGGCTAATTCCTCTTTTATGGGTCTGATAGATTTATTTTCGTTAGTTTAGTGCTTACCTGAGCGCCATTAATGATGGACTGGAAACCAGATCCACACAGTCTGTTCACGGTGAGAGCGGGCACTGGGATGGGTACGCCACACCTCAGACCCACATGACGAGCAATGTAGGGTGCATCAGCTGAGCTCTGAACGTAGGGAAATGGATCAGAAACAAAATGTAAGATACAGTAGTCAGATCATTTATAATGAATCCTTTCAGTCTTGTATGTGTGATCAGTACCTGCATGACATTTCCCATGATGATGCTGTTTACAAGCTCTGGGACCACACCCCCTGCAGCGAGGGCAGCTTTGGCTGCATGTTCAGCCAAGTCTGTTGCACTGTGATCCTTCAGTACTCCACCATAGGTACCAAATGGAGTACGCTTGGCAGCTACAATAAATACACCTAGGAAAAAAGAGCATTTTAGTTTGGAGTTAACACCACCCACCACTGAGCTACAGCCAGATTGTAGCGCGAACAGAGAGAGAAGATTTGTGAAGGGATAATTAGCACTAAAGCGACATGATTTACAGGGTGTTGAAATAAAGCTGCGCCTGATTTCTTGTTTTCAATTCTTTGTTGATGTATTCAAATTAAAGTTCCTGTTTAGGTTTTCTCCTATAATGTTTCTGTTTTTTTATTTCCTGACAGTGACTTTGATTTATTGCTTCATTGCTGTGTATGGATTTGTTATTTGTATTTTCTGATGTTTAGTTTTATGATGAGTACATGTCCATGGTCTTCCCCGTGTTTCTATTTGCTGCTCATCATTCCTGAAACCTGGTCCTTCTGTTTCAATCAATCAATCAATCAATCAATCAATCAATCAATCAATCAATCAATCAATCAATCAAGGCTTTATTCACCACGTGCAGGTTGCCCTGCAGTGAAATGGGACCCCCCGCCCCGACCTTACACACACAACACAGACATCACATGGGGATACAGGTCGGAGATCAGTAGTGTTACAGAAAAAACACTGAAATATACACTACAATGGGAAAGTACAAGAGGAAAAAAAGAGACCTCTACTCATGCTGGGCTCCTGGGAGGACAGCATGAGAACAGGAAACAAAAAAACTCCTCTGCACATAAAAGCACATAAATGTCCACAGCACAACATTATGGAGCACGTGACAAGCCACAGGGTCGGGTGGGGGGTGAGGAGTAATCCGAAGCAAACACAGCAGCCATCCTGCCCAGCGCTACCATTCCAGCGCGGGCTCAGACCCGCCGTGTTCCCCAGGAGGGAACAAGCGTCGAAGGCGTTTGGAAAGGGAGGGGGGATGAGTGTGTGCACATTAGTGTATATGTATGTGTGTGCGTGTCCAGAGTTCAGCTGACACAGTGTCCTTCGCCCTGCCAGGTTAAGTAAACAGTCTACCAGCCAACCCAGGTGGCCTTGCATAGAATGGGAAGAACAGTCTAAACACAGTCGTTATCAAGGTGTTGTTGTTCAGCTCCAGCCTTGAGACCGCAGCTGGCGCCAAAGGGGTATCCGCATGAAGTGATGGTGGTTTTTACTTTAGTGCGAACAACTCATATGAATTTCAAAGCTGTTCTAACAGTCCAACACTGGTCTCTCAATCTCCCGTTGGAGAGCCGTGGGCTTCTCCAAGATGTGATCCATTTCCATGTGGATCAGTAAGAAATATAAATTATTCGATGCAACTTTGTTATTTCTTCATGTTGGCTGCTGGTAACTTATTCTTGCATGTAGAACATTTGTTTTATAGTAATGAATGATTCTAAAACAGTTCGCCTATTTGTCGCCTACTTGCTAAGTGCATTTCAAATTTGTATCTAGAGAAAGCCTACGTTTGAATTCTGTTTCTTTCATTTTAACTTGCTCTCAGACTAAATGCCTCTGAAGCAGCAGCTGAAAGAAAATCTAAAACTGTCTCTGAAACATTAATTCAAGCTAATATTTACTTACTACAGCTGGAGCCCGGGTGAGGTTTTAACAGTCTGAAAGCAAGTAAAGAGTAAATTTAAACAGAATTCAAATTTGGAATAAACTGAAACTCGGAATTTAGACCCATCTGCACACAGGGATCTGAGAAATCTTCCAGGAATAGTGATGCCATTTCATTTCATACCTGTCCTCTAATCTGAAGTAGGTTTTCAGGAGCTACTTTGGCAATTCTTTGTTTTTCTTTTTTTAAATTCCCTGTTTCTGCATTTGGGGCCTGATTGATAATCTGCCAAAAATTTATCTGAAAGTCACAGCAACATTTTTGAGAGGAAAAAAAAAATTGGTTTAAAGTTCACAGTACCTTAATAGGAATGATCTCTATTTTGAAATGTTGCACTGAGGGACCTTTTTCAGTTTTAGAGGGACACTGAACTATCGACTAATGTCTGCTACGTGTCAGGAAACGCAGGATGCTTTGACCTGGAATCGAGTTTGCAAATATTATAGTAACACCTGACGCATACAGCTGGAGTCTGTTTAATGTTGAGTAATATGTTCCCTCCACTCTGAATGGGGGCACTGGACCAAACTCACAGAAGAGCGCAGAGATTTGTGGATCAATAAAACTGTATTTATTTATAAATCCACTATAAAGCTTTTCTGACTAGTCATTTTGTTTACATTTTTTAAATTGATAGGTTTAAGCAGAAAAGTTAAACATAAACTAAACGTAATGAATTTGCAGCATAAAGTATTAAAGAGGACTGCATAAGTGATTCATTAGACAACAGTAGTGACAAGCTGTTGAAACTCTTTGGTTATCAATACTTTTGTGGATAATTACTTAGTGTTTAAACGGAATAATAACTCAAGGGAGTGATTGAATGGCTGTGCATGTAAGATGGGGAAAAAAATGTTGGGAGCTGCTGATATGATGCATATAAAATGGCTCAATGACCAGTAATCCAAAGTCCTTATAGATAATTTCTTTAAACATTTACTCCATATTCATGATGTAATTGCCATATGACGAATAACTCAAATTAAATACTGTTACCCAACTTTTTTGATGTTCTGTTCTCGATCATATATAAACACATAATATGGAGAAATATGAATAGCAAAATCAGGAAACACAATAATGCAAATTAACTAATGTATGAGGCACAAATGTATATTTGTAATCTATTAAACATATAATTAAAACAGATTTAAAGCACGGTTTCACCTTCGCTTAAGTAAATGCATCACAGCACATGCTATAGCATATACTTATAGCTATAATATTCGCACACATGAATATTACAGCTGAAAGCTGTAATTTTCTAAACCAAAAAAGTGTGGGCATAACAAAAGCAAACTGGTGTCCTCAAAGTTGTGAAAGGTTTCTGATTAAATGTTAAAATTCATATTTACAGCTTTGAGTTGAGTAGCAGCAAGGAGCCGCTGTTTAAATAATACTGCCACCATCTTGTCACCTTTCGCCTACATTGCAGTTAAATTATGTGGAAACGAGACTTCTTTGCATATAAAATAAATAAAAAGGTAGATTTTTAAAGCGCTGTTGCACAGCAGTGTGACCCAGATACTTTCAAACGCCCCATCAGAAAATCCCGTCCCAGCAGTCTTACTGCTGAAATGAAATGAATGGTGTTTGTTTACCTCTGAGAAGTGCCATGGCGCAGACTCAACAATCCAGCGATGACCGGATCAAAGTTTTAGGCTGATATCTCGCTGCGTGGAGGATATAAAAGCCTCGGACCACTGTGACCTTTCCCCCAAATACTGCAGCCCGGTAACGTTTTACTCCTCCATGAAGATTCAACAAAATATCTACACATAAATATCTACACAACGCAATGTTACTATTTTTTTTTTACTGTTTATCTTATTGTTTTATTAAGTAATATATTAACGGATTATAATATATCCAATATCTGTCTTTGATTTTATTTCCAGGATTTTTAAATAAGCGAAAGTGCGCACGTTGAAGTGTGCAGCCGCTTGTTTGAAACGTCATCTTTCAGCGACGTGTGTGGGGGGGCTGTCACTCCAGGGGACGACATGTGAATTTTTGTTGTCCTGGACCCAAAACTGAGTTAAAGGAGGAAACAGAAACGTAATTAAAACATGTCTTTGGCTCTTTCGCGATGTCTTTGCAGGGTTTTATCGCGGCAGGCCATGCCGTCGAGGTGAGTGATTGTTGTACGATGTGAACGAAGTGCGTTAGCTGCGTGGAGCTAATATAGCTAAGGTTATTCGGTGCTTTAATGGAGAAGAAGTGTGCTTATAACGATTTTCAATAACAAGGGTGATGAGCAGAGCTGTTGTGACTACAGAGGGATGTAGTTGTTGAGAGTATGGTTTCATGCTGAGAAAGAGTACAGATGCGATGTTTGCTTTGAGACTGTTGATGGAGAAGTATAGAGAAGGTCAGAAGGAGTTGAACTGTGCACTTGTGCATCTAGATAAAGCATATGATGGTGTGCCAAGAGAAGTATGAGGGTGGTGCAGGACATGCATGAGGACAGAGAAGCAGTGGTGAAGTGTGCGGTAGGAGTGACAGATGGGTTGGACCTGGATCAGCATCAGGGATCTGCTCTGTGGCTTCTTGTTTGCAATGAAGATGGACAGATTAGATCAGTGAGTAGTCTCTGTGGACCATAATATTTGCAGACGATATTGTGATCTGTACCAAAAGTAGAGAGCAGGTGAAAGAGAGCCTGGAGAGGTGAATGTATGCTTTGATAGATGAGAAATGAAAGTCAAAAGCAAGACAGAACACGTGAGAGGCAGACAGCTGTGCTCGTGATGCTGAAAGGAGCCAAAAATTGTGACGGTGGATGGTTAAATACCTGGGGTTAAATATCCAAAGCAAATGACAGTGCACAAAAGAGATAAAGAAGACAGTGCAGGCAGAGTGGCGATGAGCATCAGGGGTGATTTGTGACAGAAGTGAAAGGGAAAGTTTACAAGATGGTAGTTAGAGGGTGGCACCAATAAAAAGACAGGCGACTGAGCCGAAGGTGGCAGAGATGAAGATGTTAAGATTTTTACTGGGAGTAAAAAAAAAGTAGCACTCTTAAGACTGTCTTCTTCAAAGAATATACAAACTTGAGAGAAATGAGAACTTGAGAAATGACCCGTACTCTATTTTGCAGCTCTCTGTACGGAGAACATCATCTTGTACAGAGTCCTTGGTTTGCACCAGTGATGACCCTGAAGACATCTGCTCCACTGAGGTATGATTCAGGCTCACAAACCAAGTCATGACCGAGGTTTACCACAATTGTCATTTCATCAATATTTTAAATTGAACAACTTAGTCCACCAATGTTATGGTGGTTCGTGGTGCTAACAGTATTTCTCAGCAAGCTCTATCTTGTGGCTGAATATATTAACATAGAGGTTTGATCTGTGTTATTCAAGAGCTGAGCCAAAAAAGAAGAAGAAAGTGGACCCGAGAAGGGAACAGATGTTGAGAGAGCGTCTGAAAAAGAAGCTGAAGAAACTGGAGAAAGTTCCACCAGAGCTTATCCCCATAGAGGACTTCATCACTCCAACCAAATGCTTGGATGAAACAAGGTGGAGCTCATTTCAGTCTATGTGCATAAATGTCGTTTGAAATAATGAAGGTCAAATTTGTATTGAAACATTAATGTATAGTGCTCAGTGTGATAACACACATTCAAATTTCTTCTTGTCAGCAAATGAACTAAAGCTACTGGGCAGGTATGGATCATCAGAAGCATGCAGAGGCATTTTTTAAGACCAGTGGATGGGAAAAGAAATGTGTTTTTATTCCTAAATAAACAGGCAACAGATCAAGCAGCTCTATAAGTCCAAGGTGTAAAATTAATGTGTCGTGGCTCAGCCCACGGCATCCTTTGAGAACGCTGTCCTCCACAGCCAATGAAGAAAATCTGAGCTGATGTCAACTCTGTTTTCCACATCAGAGTTAAGAACTATTTTAATATTATGTGTTAAAATCAGCTTTGTTGGATCACACAAACAAATGGAAAAAAAAGAAAGTCAAAAGCACTTATTGTGTGCTTTTTTTGAGTTTTTTTTATTCATGACATCTCACTGGTCAAGAATGGATTTGACAATAATGCCCCAGGAGTGTTAACACAAACATTATTTATGTCAAGATAATGTAAATACTACTATACTACAATTCTACAAGTCTCATTTAACCCATCAGACGCAGTTTTATCTACCCCGAAGCATTTTTCATCATTCGTACACACTCCAATAGGTGCAATTTGCCAAGAACATTTTGCTGGCAGGAGGAATCACAGACTTCTTTGCCTGCTTTGCTAGATGACCAGTTCGACCACCTCAGCCACAGCTCATTTTCGCAGAGAAATTGCCTTTGCAAAAGGTGGCTGAAGTTCTGAGACATGATTGTTATCTGATGTGTTGTTGGTTTTATCAGTCTTTTTGCAGTGAAGCTCTGGGACATTAAAACAGCTTTGAAACTTTTAAATTGCTCATTTGAATACCTTTCTTGGGTATAGGGCTTTTAAGTCCTTTAAATTGATGTTCATAATTCTCTGTCTAAGGGAACGCACTGCTCCAAGGCTGTCATTTGAAGAAAGTGAGGGTCGAGCCCTGCTGCTGAAGGAGTGGTGTCGATACAAACAGGTTACCACTTACCTATCGCACCTGCGTCACTAAAGCTTTTATGGAAAATGTTACATCTGACCCCGGCTCTACATCTCATGCACTTAGTGGGTTGTATCTGTCTGCTGTTCTTGCAGAAGCAGCACATGGCTGAAGTGGAAGCTGTTGAACTGGCTTTGGAAGCACAGAGGGAGGCACTGGAGGAGCTGAAGCTGGAGTCCGAGGAGCTGTACCGGGCAGCGCTGAAGCCTGACCCGCTTCTTATTCCCTTTGTTCACGAAGGTCCCGCATATACGCCAGCAATACCCAATTATGACGCCCCTGATGGGAAATACAACGATATCACTAAAGTTTACACGCAGTGATAAATGAGGAATAGCTGTGTGTAGTTTAGTGTGTCTGTTATTCACTAAGCAAAAATGCAGCTTTTAAGCACACTGTCTTTATTCCTTCATTGTCGTTCATTGTGTGAGAGTTACAGTGAGTTTGTGTCACGTTAATATTTGTCTATAATAATGGAATAAATCTTTTTATTGATCCAGTTTTCAGAATCTTTTTGAACATGTCATAAGGCAGAAAACTGCTACACAACTCTGAATTCTGTCATCTCGATTTTTCAGTAGGATTAAACATCCCATATACCTACATCATTAACCTTTCTTAAAGTCAATTCATTTGCTGAGCAGCTGACAAATACAGATAGGCCTACAGGTACCATGCAAACACCTGGCTCTTCACCTTTTTCAAGGAGAATGAAGCAGATCACTGATTACCTGTACTGACTATATATTCTGTCAACATAAGGATAATATAGAGCTAATTTTCTCTGAGTGCAGTCTGGTCTTTGTGCTTAAGTTTACACAAGCTTTGCAGAATTAGTACCTATGAGACACCAGCCTGTCTGGAAACGGATCATATTTACTGATAAAACAGCTAATCCTTATCGCTGAGCACTAGCTGCTGCCAGCATTGTTAGACATACTGTATATATCATTTTACATACAGCAGTTCTCTGAATACAACTGATGACATCTCGTGATTACGAGAATGTCCAGGCTCTTAAACTGAAACTAAGCATGTTGTCAAAACTCGATGTTCAGGAGTCCTGAGGCTTCTCCTGGTTCAGTGGCACGTGCCAGTCTCTAGGAGGCTCCTGCCTCAGCTGCCACACTGGAATGAAGTTTCTTTGCTCTGCCACTCTGATTTTCTCACTTCTCCGCAACGCCTCCTGCAAGACAGACAGAGTGAGTGTATTTATACAGCCTGGAGCGGATCACAGAGGTCACCCGTTTAGGACTTTAAAATTTTAATTTCTTGCTGTTCCACCTTAGCCTCGGTGCCTCTGTGTTTCTCCCACTCTCTGCAGTTATGGTAGTCCTCTTTCCACTGCTGGCAGGATGGCACGGTACCGTAAGTGTAGTAGTGGTGAAACCAGTTTTTAAAACTTTTGCAGTGTCTAAACTCGCTCCAGTAGTCTTCACATGCCCGTGGTGGCTGTGGCGACAAAGCAAACAAAAATCAGAATAAAATTTTAAACTTCTGTTGGGATTCTGGTGACTGACATCAGACACTTTGTTGGGTACGCCTGTCTAACTACTTGTTATTAATAAAATAATCAGCCAATCAACTGGCAGCAACTGAAAAGGAGGAAATATACAGTGAGGGGCAGTTCTCTAAGCAAAAATACCTTGTTGACGTCAAAGGAGAATAGCCACACTGACTCGAACTGACAGGAAATCAACAGTGACTATCAAAAGTACCACCAAGATATGCAGAAGACCATCTCTAAATTCACGGCATGTCAAACCTTGAAGCAACAGAAGACCACACTGAGTGCCGCTCCCCAAGAACAGGAAACTGAGGCTACAGTTTGCACAGGTTCACCTATGCTGCGCAAAAGAGCACTGGAAAAACACTGCCTGATCTGATGAGTTCAAATTTCTACAGCAACATTTGGCTGCTATGGTGAGCAGTTTATTGATGTTCGTCTCACATCTCTGTCAGCAGCAACTGTGTGATGCTGTCGTGCCAAACTGGAAATCTCTGATGAATGTTTTCATTCAACACCTTGTTGAATCTGAGCTACGAAGTATTAACGCAGGTCCGAAGGCAAAGAGAGTCCAACCCAGTACAAGCATGACGTTCCCAATATAATGGCCGGTGAGTTTTAACCTGAGTCTCTGAAGTGTTCAACATTTAAACAGCGCCTCTCTGCGGTCGTATTAAGAATGGGCTGACCCTCAGTTTGGTCAGTGGCTCATTTGACTTTCCAACTACACACATGCTGTTTTTAAATTTGATCAGCAAGCCCAGATATTAGTGCATTTCGTGAATCAAAAAAATATACGTCGCCTCCTCGGATCTTCTTTGTCTGACTTTGCTAGATGGTACAGAAGGGTACATTTGCGGTTTAGCATCTAAAGCTAATCACCTTGCGACCTACGTCATCAGGATTTGACTTGAATTATTTTGAGTCTTGTCATAAACAAGGCAAATCAAATTAACTAAGGAAAAGTTATCAGTAACGAAATTAATAACGTAATATCTGGTTTAATTACCCTCCATGCGATTTCTCCCACAGCCCTGTCCATCGCTAGCTGCGACAGCTTTAGCAACTGTACTCCTTCCGGTTTTATTTTTCACAACAAAAGCTCTTGGCACATTTCTGTATCACTTATACAAAGCATCAAAACGAAAAAATGCGTGCATGGCTGAAGAACGTCATTGTGAATTCACAGTTTGTTTAAAGATATTCTGCTTTTACTGGAACTTAAAGTATATATTATTTGCAACAATATTTTTTCTGAAACGATAAAAATGTTGGTTTTCTCAAATCTGAATTTGTAGGTACTTTTGCTGATTGAGAGCTCAACCATTCATTATTTTACACATTTATGTAAACTCACCAATTCCAATAGTTTATCCAATGATCATCTTCTTCGTATATAAATACTCAACTCAGGTGATGTCACAGAAAGAGCATAATACCTCAAAAATAGGTCTGAGTGTAATTCATTTCAAAACAATTTTATTTGTTGATAAATAAAGCAAAAGAAAAAATTCCTAAAAGTCTGGAAAAAAACCCTCAAACATAAAAATTTTCTTAGTATAATCAAAACCAAAAGCTCCCATTTTACAGTAACACTGGGATTGTGGATAACAGCAATTTTAAAGTGGATTGTAAAAATAAAAAAAGAATTATGGAAAAGATGGGTCTGCGCAGAGTCAGAGGTCATTCAATCTGATATAAGAAAGATGTTTGCTGTCATTTTTTCATGTTCTTGATAAGATATTGGCAGAAAATCGGTCACTCTGAATTTGTGAATACCAAATTAAAGCAGACAGTATTTTAGGCTGCTCAGATTCTTTTGAGCAAAATATTACTGTCAGACTTTTAATTACACGCTATAATCAACAGCAAAACCTCCATTTAAAAAGGGGCAGAGGGGCAAAACCAACGCATCTGAAAACCAATATTTTACTTTGCTGCTGAAGGTGAAAAGAATAAGATAGCTCTGTGCACATGAGTCAGGCTCCTCGTTTGTAACTCTTCAAGGTTTTCGGCCCTTCTTGCGTAGTGACTGCCCTTGTCCAGAGAAGGCGATGAATCTGTTTATGGCATCATCCTGAGAAGATTCAGAAGAAAATTGAAAAATATGGCTTGAGAACTAAATGTAGGACTTTAAAAATAGCCAGGAAAGAAAACTGTTTGCATTACTTACATCATCCACAATTTTCCTGGGCAGAGGTCTGGAGTTTCGAATGAAGGTAATCCTGCCAATTTTGAAGTCATAGTTGGGAATCCCTCTGTGTGACGAAACATTAGACACACAACAGCTTGGAAAACCATTGTCTGCGTGGTGTGGCTGTGTGCTGTCACAGCTTTAAAAAATAAACACCAATGTATAGTTACATCGCTATATTTTATACTTCGTTGGTGTTCAGTACATCTTTGTAGAGACAAAGACTCACCACAGATGTGCAACGCCGTGTGGACCATTCAGAAAGTTCAATAACCACTCCAATTTTTTTTAAAAAAAAAGAAAGGTAAGCAAAGACTTTTCTGACAATTCTGTTATGGTTCAGGCTTTAGGCTTCAGGGTTAAGACCAGGGTACCCAGTTACCTTAGAGCATAAATCCAGTATTCCTCTCTGTTTTTATGAAGCATAAAAAATACATAAACTGCTCAGAACTTTATTTAAATATATCACGTGACAAACTCATGTGCCTCAAGGTGTCACATTCTATGTCTCAACTCAAGTCTGAGATATCTAACATAGCCTAATAGATATAATAGCTCCTGCTTGGGGGCTTTCATATACTGAACAGCAGTTTGAGTTGACTGTCATCCCTCTCCTCATCAATTTGCAATACGCTGTTAAATAAAGGTGTAACATTCCCTGTAAAAATAGCTTGTCTGTTAGGTCACTTAACAGTTGAGTTATTTTTATGGGAATGTGTAAGAAACTCGACATCTTTTCACCTTTTAATGTCACTTGGGGCAAGGGGAGCAGGGCTGGGTTCAATCCCTTTAGTTTTACCATCCAAACGATTACCAGAACCGGTGAAAGCCTGAAAATAAAGCACAGATTAGAGATTAAATCAGATTATGTTATTCAAGTACTTTTAGTAGCAGTAAGTACACATTAACTTGAACTCACTCTGAAGCCTGTGTCCATGTCAGCGTAACTGCTGGGATCTGTTTCTTCCTCCTGTCAGAAAAACAGTTTTATTACATTGTTCAAAGGAGAAAACGTACAGTTACCACGATGGTTTGCTCCTTACTGTCGGTTCATCCTGGTGATTAGGCCGTCGTTCAGGCTCTTTGTAACCCAAGGGAGCATCAAAATCCACCTGAACAGCAAAGTAACAGCACGTGAGCGAATAAAGCAACAGAACAATTCACTGTGACTGTGGTGAAGTCCAGGATCTTACGTTCATATCACACTCGATGATGGATACTGCTTTATCTGGTTTGGTCTCCATGACTCGCAGCTCATATATCTGAAACACACAGATTACCATATATATATATATATATAGCATGTAGGCTGTAACAGAGTATATAAACACCTGATCAAAGCCATCTATGACCACATTCATTAGAGGCATTTTTATGTTTAATCTTCCAGGAAACTCTCCAAGAACAACGCTTGGTCACATATAATCCCAACAATGACTTAAAGAAACTGATTCACCTTTTCGTTGTAGTTAATGGCTATGACATCACCAGTTGTCAAGCATGCAAAGTTTCTCAGTGCGTTCTCCAGTCTGTAATGAATGTTAACCACTTATGTTAAAACATGAAGTGTCAAAAAAATAAAAATTTAAAGTTGAAATAAACATTTCAGCCTGTACTCCTTACACTGCCTTGGGGTTTGTAATGTCCAGGAAGTCGGGGCTCTGAGGCTGGAACTTTGAGTAAGTGGCCACCATGAGGTTAACACTTTCCACTTGAACAAGACCGCCTTCCTCTAAAAGGAGATTCTGCATCATCTGCAGTGAACAAAATACAGCAAATGTCACTCCAGCCTTTTTTTTTTTTTCTATTTCCATCCATCTATCAGGTCATGGGGGAAAGAGTGCAAGGTGGGGTACACTCTAGACAGGTCACCATCACAGGGCTAAGACACAGAGACAGACAACCAGAATCACCAATTAACCTAACATGCAAATACTTTCACTGTGGTAGGAAGCTGGAGTATACCAACAAATTTGAATTTTTAAACCCATACTTCTAAAACATTGTTATCCACTTCCACACAAGAAGAATATGTAAGTGCTCCTCCACTGCTGACACGAGACACTCATTACTGTTTCTCACCCAGTGAGGCAGGTAACAGATTCCCTCGTCTGCCACAAACTCCAGGACACCACAGTGTGTCATTCTGTCTGAGTTCTTGTTGGTCAGCTTGAACAGCATTGGATAGGTAATGTTAAGCCTGCCTGAACAGAGGAAAATAGAGCAATGCTAAAAACAGGATGTAAACAGAACATTTAGTGAGAAGGTTTTGAATTAACATGCGCTTACTGAGCTGGTCGAGAGCAGAAGGTGGCATTATTACTGAAAAGAAAAGAAAAATAACAGTTATTTTAAGGAAAATATGTGTTTTCATAAAATAAATATAAAGAAATATGATATGTAACTTTCACCTTATACATACTAACATAAACTTGGACATTTTGAGGATATTTTTTTACAGTTGTGTTTTCTAACAAGTACCACAAAGCAATAAATAGTTAAGTAGTTAACTTCAGATATGTTTGCGGTACTGGATGTATGTTTGGACAAGGGAGCTGGTTACACCATGTGGATGTTGGCACAGATTACACTCACAATACAGTGGTGAATGCAGAAAATTAGCTACATGTAAATCTGCCATACATCACACCATTGCTCAGCAAACTCTATGAACGACCTAAACTGATGTGATGAAGTAGAAGGCCTACCCTGAGGTCCTTCCCAATGACTAAGTTCCCCACCTTATCTCTAAATGAGAGCCTAGACACCCTACAAAGGAAACTCATTTCCCCCAGTCTCTGAAATGTAGAGGACTGATGATCCTTTTTTGATATTTTAATATTGATGGTGGAGAGCACTGTCTAGCATACTGAACTAAAACAACATGTTCATAGTGACCTCTTGAGGATTAAGAACGGGAGTTTCATTTTCTCCCATCAGGATTAAAATGTTTGATCACAAGATAAAAGTGATCAGTCAGAGCAACTCTGTATTGGTTTCTAGTGACCTTTCACTCTAAAAAGCAACAGTGGACCCAAACTATGCCAACAAGCAAAACAGAATCACCAGATCCTGTATTTGCAAAAGTCAAAGATTAAGGTCTTCATTTAATTCTTCACACATACATACTTTGATTTGAACGAGTGGTATGGAAGAAAACACTGTACTTCAATATCTTTTGTTCAGAAACCTTGAACTGGGTGACTGTCTGAACCAACATGACCATTCTTTGAATGAGACTCACTTTTGCCTCCTTTCTCAACATCGGAGCGGTCGTTGGGTCCAGCCAGCATGGACACCGAATAGCATCGGTATTGAGTGGAGAAGCGGTTCTGAAAGCCCCGGGCCAGCTGGTGGTCAAACACATGGAAGGAAAACTGTGGAACAAACATCAAGATTGTCAGTCAAACTCAGGTCACGTGTATACTTCAGAGCAAATAGATGACAATTTAATTGTTCAGGACAGGGGATCTTTATGCTGTGCTGTAGTCCTGTTGCTAGCCGCTAGCTAGCTAAAACTGGAGCAACTACGATTTGTTTTGATACAACGTCACCGGCGAGAAAAACCATAGTGCTCACCATGTTGACTGTTTCTGTTCCTCGCTGCTAAACGCCCGCTTAATGATGTTTGTTTCAGTTTTCTAATTTACAGAAAAATTTACAATTTCCAACGTTGTAAACAACTGAAATTGTAGTCACTACCAGATCCGTACCGGAAACCCGATCGGTACCACGCATGTGCGAAAGGCCACTAGTGATGGGATATCCGGCTCTTTTTAGAGAACCGACTCTTTCGTTTTGACTCACTAAAAAGAGCCGGGTCTTTCGGCTCCGAACCGGCTCTTCAGGTTGTTTTGTTGCTTTAAT